AGTCACGTACTGACGTATGCTGGACACAAGTACTCAATTATTGAGAAAAATGTTTAGCGACTGTCTGGCCCATGGATAAATGGAGGTCATACTTCCCGGGACAACGATCACAAACCCCTAGAGTGGATCAGGACCATCAGAGATCCTTTCGGGGAGCTCGCGCGCTGGGTAATCCGGTTACAAGAGTACACCATCACGATCCGGCATGAACTATGGAAGGAAAACCACCTGGCTGTGGCTGTCAAAACCAGAGACTGAAGTTGAGGCCCTGATTAGCGCCAATAGCCTAGCCGTCGAACTGGATCACGGAAGGTCGGTGAAACTACAGCCGCAGAATCCTGCATTACGGAAGGTTGCAACCACCTTGTTGGATGGAAGAAGAATTGAGAACGGGGACACCGAATGGTCTCCAAGCTCCTGATGTTCAGATCTACACAGGTGAAAACCATCAGTCGGGAAGGAGCAGACGCCAGTCTCTTTTAAAAAATAGACGAAGCACAAGCAGCAAAAATGTTGGTCCAACTTATTTCACCATTTGACTTGCTTTGCATCCATTAAATTTGTGTTGCAGAAAGCAAAGACCTTGAACACTTCACTTGTAATTCGAAGACAGGTGCGGGAAGCTGAGACAATTTGCATATCCCGGAAATTGCACTCGCCATGATGGCAACGTGACGGGTGAGGTCAGTTAGCGAAAGTCGAGGGCAAGAAACACGTTTGACAATTCACATCGCTTTTGGTGCCATGAACGACAGAAGACATTGCGAGCCATGTTATTGTGGGGTTGATAGGGTGTCTTTACGGCCCTTCGTGTCCCCATTAGGAATCTGATAATCGTTACCTCAGAAAGGTTGGCGGTAAAAGCCGGTGCCAACGAATTCGTACTGACATCTGTTCATAGACAGTACAGGTTGCGTTAGAAACATGAACAGGGGGAGAATACATAAAAAGACCATTTTCTGTTTGTTCTACTGCATTTTTGAATTTTTCGCGCTGCCTGGCATTATGTATATGTTAGGTCACCTCCAAGACTCTCAATGCGGGCGCTTCATTGGCTTCTTCACTACATGCTTCTTAGCGCCAACAAACACATCGCATGAGTCATCCGCAGAGTGCAGCAGACTTCGTGACTGCATACGTGGGACATGCCCAGACCAAAGTAATGCAACAGCAGCCGAACAACTTCAGTATTGTAGTATACGGTGTCTGTCAGTTGGATTAATTTATACGTAAGTATTGATGTACAAACTTGCTTACTGGGCTTCGGCCCATGAGTTTTGTCCACATAAATTATCCTGAACACCTGCCTTCGGAGAATCACTGTCCCTTGGTGCTCCCATAGCGTGCATACTACAGTATGAACCGACCAAGTTTCGCAGTCATATAATGAGACGGCATGTACAAAAGATTGATGTCAGTCGCCAAATGTGTCGCAAGTAAGCAATCCTACAACTAGCTTCTTTTATCCGTGCACAGACTTTCTATCCCACTCCTCCGCCAAACGTGACGTAACTGTCCAAGTATACGAAATGGTCAACTGCTGCTGGTTGATCAGGTGAGCGTTAACCTGTTACACGAGCTCGGCAATTAGCTTGCGAACGTCTTATCCCCAGTAGAGGAGACATCGTCAGTCATCATTTGAGTGAATGACGATGTCTCTTCGACTGGGGACAAAACATTTGTGAGCTAATTACAAGGCTCGGCGAACAGCTTAACGCCTACCTGACCAAACACAAGTAAAAGCCCCAGAGTCACCAATATTTTCGACACACGGTCAACTTTTCCTGGAAATAATACCTGGCAGCGCAAACTGTCCCCGTGCCAGGAGGAAAATGGTGCGGACCGACAGGATGGACGCGCGACGGACAGCCTGCCGACTAAAATTCATGCTATGCTTGTTCAGAAAGGCGGCCTTCGTCAAGCGACTGACGAAACACCAAGTGTAAATGGTTTGCCAGTGTGGAGGACGTTTCTTGGCACACCCAAATTGAGTTCGCCGAAACTATAGGGTTTTCGAAGTTGCTCTTTAAATGGGGAGTTAGTCTAATCGATTTGCACCTTCCCGTGTTGCACGTAGCATTTTGTTAAAGTGAGCGAAATGTCATTGACCATCGCCGATTTGCATTTTTTGCCGGTTTACGCGACATAAAACACGAAATCGCACTTTAGCATGTTTTAGCGTTCTTCGGTGTTTCTGAAGAACAAAATAACATCCTAAGAGTATTTAATGCAAATGCCACCCTATAGGATCAGCCGCATGCGTTTGTTTGCTCTAGACACCTCAGATTTAACAAATGGGATATTTTTGCTTAGTGAACCTGCTTACGACACATTTCTCCATGGGTCTCAGGTTCCATTAGGTGCAATAAAGTTAGATTGCAGCATAAACTTGCACTGGCAGTGCGAGGGATATCTGTGGACGATCCCCTTTTCCAGATATGCATAACTAGCTTGTAGATTATACGGTGTTACGAGAGGGCTGTGGGCTTCTTTCCTATTATAACTATGACGTTCTATAGGTGGTGACCACCATAAAGCGGTCACCACTATGACTCAACTATGGGTGATAGCCTAATCTGACAGCCTGTTATACTCACAACTGTACTCGAAGTCATCTAACTTGGCTATTGATCTTACCTTTTGAGTCAGTGTCCTTGTGCATACATACCAAATCTACTGGCGAACGATGGACCTAATACTCAAAGCTGTACGCGATATGGCGTAGGCCTCAGCTATGCTAAGTGTCCTGATCTGACTGCCAACGATGGCCCGTCATACCCATAAATGTGCGCGCTCTCGCTAATGTCTGCTACTTATATTATTATGGAGTGCATGGAATCAGTGTTAAACACCGGTCTTCACTGCCGTACCTGCCTGCTACCTACAGTAAACACCAAACCAGTATCTATGCGGACCGATAAAAACCAGGTTCCGACAATGCGTGACATCTTAACGACCAACGGCTGTCCGTCATACTCGTAACTGCAGTTGATATCGCCTACCTTGACTGCTTATCGTAATCGCAAGACCTCTGTCCATGTGCAACGCTGGGTATGAATCTAACGGTCTTTCATACCCTTAAATATACGCTATACCGCTTATCTTCGCTACCTACAGTAAACATCAATCCAATATATATGATGACCGGTAAAAACAAGGACTCAGCTATAGGTTATAGCCTAATCTGACAGCCTGTTATACTCACAACTCTACTCGAAGTCACCTAACTTGGCTATTTATCGTCATACTCATACTTACTCGATGCCGTTTATGTTTGCTACCTCCAAACTCAAACTGCAATCACCACCCAATTTGATAGTGCACTCCCAACTCCTACTCTTGATTGTACCCCCTTGACCACTCCCCCATCACCTGAAACAATGAGCTGTCGCTCACCTCAACTACTTGGCGTAACTGCTATTCGCGACGCAGATTATGAGGCCTCACCCATGCACGGCATCGTAATACAATGGCCAAAGACGGCGCTTCATACTGATAATGCGCCCGCCATGAATGTACGAAAACACCATTGGCGAATTGCATCTTATTCATTGGCACCACCGATACAAGCTTAATTGGTAGTCGCTCCATTTTTCATTTTCCTAAGATCCACTTCACGGGACAAGGATTCTGAAACGGAAAATGGGCAAGCAATTAATCTTCGGGAATAGCATTTAAGCATCTGAATGTAATGGAATCTTATTTGTTTGCTTAACTAGTGGATTATAATTCCCATTACCGGGACGAGGGGTAAGTCCACGGCTTCTGCTTTGTCTGCAGGGATGTCTGCTGCAACGGTGGAAGGCTTTTTCACACAAAAGTAGCTAATTGCTGCTCCTTTTGGTTTGTGCTGACAAAAACAACGAAATGTTTCACCTGGAACTCTTTTAATGCCACTTGAAATGCACTGAATGAGAAAAAACTTTGACGAGCTAAATTCTCCACGAAATAATCCTCCGCATTCACGTGCTCAGCCATAGCAGCCATTAAAATATGAATATCGCGGGCCTTGAATATCGTGGGGACAACTTTCAACAAAACTACGGCCGTTTGGGAAGATCTCATACGCCCGAAAAATTACCATCAAATATTAAAATTTTGTTAAAGTTTTCCTCCTTCGAACCGCGGTTTCAGAGAAATTTTAGGTGTGCGTCCAGCCGTTGCCATTGGTACACAGGATCAGGACTTTTGCCCAAGTTTCCCGAGTCGGTTTTGTTCTTGTCGGTCAGTGGCTGTCGTTCACCTGAAAAGCACAAGTGAAAAAAGGGTGAAGCATTGCTCTTTATGTTCTCAGCGCGGGGCAGTATGCTCGCCAGCGCGAGGATTGGCATAGATAAGTGTCTAATAGTGCCTTGAAATGGGTTCTAGAAGGAGCGTGAACAACCGTCGCAGGAATGTTATTCCACGCACCTACTACACGAAATCAGAAAAAATTCTGTCTAATGAATGTGTGTGATCTGAGCTTGAAAATTTTCTTACTATGCCCCCGCTGTGAGTTTTCTGGGTGAACGGTAAAAAGCCTGTTCGCTAAGCTTTGTTCAAACGGGGCACAAGTAAGAATTAGGTCCCCTCGGAGGCGACGGTACTCCAGGGGAAAGAGATCGAGCATCGCGAGACCCGTTTCGTAATCCACGGATTTGAGGGCGGCAACCATTCTCGTGGGGGCTCGCTGGACACGCTCAATGAGGGTGACGTCCTTCGTGCGTCCTGAGTAGACAACTTGGTCGGCGTATTCCAGGAGCGGTCTGACGTAGGCACCATAAAGTATTCGGAAGTCCATACGAGTAATGCGGGAGAAGATGCGTCGGATCATCCGTAAAATGGCGAATGCCTTTTGGGCCGATTTCTCATGGTGCAGTGAGACGGAAAATTTTGAGAAGGCCCAGATGCCCGAATCCTTTTTGGCATCTATCCTCATGATGTTTTCTGGTCCCTTTTCACCAAGCACAACAAAAGCATTCGCTGAGTCTCCTCCAAGCGACACATGGACGCACTTTTCGTCACTCAGGGGAAGGTGCCAGTCCAACGATTACTGCTTGGCAGCGTCTACATCCATTTGGAGGGCACTGGCATTGGAACTCCAGGATTTCAAGTCGTCCGCAAAAAGTGGACATAGACTCGCAAGAACATCTGGGAGGTCGTTGACGTAGATCAGAAACAGGAGTAGTCCCAAGACGGAACCTTGAGGAACTCCAATTCAGACCGGCGCTGGAAGAGAGTAGGTCGAACCTATTCTCACCCGGAATGATCTGTCTGATGGGCACGCCCTGATCCGGTGAAGGATTTTTCCTTTCAGATCGACACTTTTCACTCATTGTAATGGTTTCGGTGTGGTCTCCTATGGTCGTTCTAACAAGCTTACCGCGCATCTGCGTCGAGGGTTGTGCCGTCCTGATGTACCATGAGGGACAAAATCACAGTGAACTGGAGTGTTTGCAGCACCACAATGCCTCCAGAGATTCAGGGTGCGTAAGCAGAAACAATAAAAAAGTTGCGCTTTGGATATCGGTTTCTCCAAGCTCTTCCGCGAAATTTGTTCAATGAGAAGACCTCAAATACCACCAAAATGCATGCATCCAAAAAGGGACGCTTCCCTTCGACAGCTCAATGCAGTATCCACTCGATATCCCAGGCAGAGCAGGCTTCGGTGTAATTAATATCGGAAAACCGTAAGTAAGCAGAAAGCTATGGGAAGCCGGCCTAATTAAATTATTTGTCTCCTGGGTTCTTCTCCTTCTAGACTGTACGTGGGCGGATCCGGCGTATGGATGAGCTCAGCTAACCATGATGCTTGCCTCAGAGTACGAAAATTGAGTGCATGTAGGTAGACCGAATCCTTTTTGTTTGGACGCTGAGTTCAGTGTTGCTGATGGCAAACATGGAGAGCTCCGGCTGAAGCTGGAACTTAACAAGTACGGCAGCCATGTACAAATGAGTTTAGTCCAACGCAAGTGTGTTTTTACCAGGACTGACGTAATTCAAACGCAGCGGATAACAGAGACCGTGAAACACATGTTGCATGAAAATTGTGGCGAACCTTTGGGACTGAGGTGAATTCGAATTTAAGGAGGCAGAGGAGGCCGTTTTATGACATGTCACAAATTTAACTTTACGGTTTTAACCTAGATTGATAACCGTTGTGCGACCTGGATGACACGAAACCGTTGATGCTTTGGTACAAGCCGCAAACAGCAAAACGAGGGTCCAAACGGAATCTTAGTTTCGCCGTACTCCAATAACCGTAGGTTCATTCTTCCAAAGCAAAATGGTCCGCATATCCCTATCATCCATCTAACTGCATTTATCGAACCATCGAAGCAAGACGTTGTCCCGTTTGGTGGCATGCTGTAAGCCTTGTTGTGTTATGTAAGTCCCTGACTGCTTAGTTTCTCAACTCGTTAATATCATGTCTTCGTAGATATAAATAGCAAGGGACCATTTCAGACTCAATCTTAATGTCCCCTCTTAGTTGGCATTAACACGGCCCTCCCCACCAACTGATGCACCGACGTTTCAAAGTGCAATACTCCGGCTACTTATCTACCGCTCGTGATTAATTGCGTCCGGTGATCTGCGCCTGCCTTGGTATCCCCGAAACTCTGGTGCAAGTCCTCACTAAAAGCTCCGCTGCATCAGGCAGCCTCTTGAGCCTCGCGTTTTCCCCACCGTTAGTTCTACTCATAACGCTCTAAACTTCAGCCACGTCACTGTAATTTGAACGGGAACATTATTTGTCCCTCCTATAACACGGGATATTGACCTTTGAAGTAGTTCCTGGGTAAACTTCAAATGGCAAACCCCGATGAGCAAAGAAATTTTTATCCCAGTAACTCTCAACGGGGCTGTCTAAACTTAAGAGCTTTTCACTAGATTCCGCGGACCTACCCTAACGTATCCAGTGGCAAGTACATCCAGCTTCAACTCGTGCACCACCGACCTGACCTGCTAACTTTAAAGAATTAACCTCCAAGCGTTTTGACACAATGTTCCTAGGCAGTTGTAGCTCACTAGAGTAGAGCGGTGGAGCTTTCCGTCAAACTAAGCAATACATGTCAATCTGGCAACCTTTATTCCACAAACTTAAAGAGCTCCTTCCAAAATATCCGAATTATTGTCCGATTTAAACGACAATGTAGAGTTACTCAACCACTAAGAGTTAGGCTGACCAATTCACCTCTGCTTTAACCTGCAAATTCCAGCACCACAATACACTTTTCTACCAAATCATCTACTAACCGACTGGTTGCTTGAGCCCATAACCATAGTCTCGAGCCTTTGCAAACAAAGCTCACTAAACCCCCAAAAACTCAATACGAGCAATGAGACAGGGAGGTAACATTGCTTCTACTCAGCGTCAAAGAGAATTACTGTTGATGTAACCGTTGTTTATCTTGCCGCTATCGTGCCTGATCTGACTGCCCGCATCCCATTATCCCATCCCTGTCCAGGATTCATATTATCCACTTGTTCACGCCGGCCTAAACCTGCGTTTTTCCGCTCCATTTATGTCTGTTTCAGATGGAATTGCTTTCATGGTTGGAATATACTCCATCATGTATAACATCGGATGGCCGTAGTCTTGCTAATGCGGGAGCCGAAAACAAGACCAATGAGTGGTCTAATGAGTCGTGCGGAGACAAAGTTATCGTGCTGACCGGGTAAATACTGAACGAAAGGTTCATCTAGGACGTGACACAACAACGCCGGCCGCCTTACGGGAAAATGAACATTTTTTAGAGCCCGCTGGTCAAAGGAAACCAAAAGAGTACTGATACTTTCTGTCACACTTTACTGGTTTGAATTAACCCCAATTTTCAGATGCTATTATTGGAGACCCAAAATGCAGGTTGAAAACATGTTATTGACGCAACTCACTATTAAAAAATGGGTAAAAGTCCCTCGATAGTAGGCGCAACCTCCCAGTTTCCACTGGCCTCAGGTTCCACCCGCGAGAAATTCGACAAATGCACATATCTGCTCATAAATTATGGTGTTCTTCCCCCCTGGAAAACAATTTGATATGCAAATTAGTTAATTAGCCAATCTTCGCCAATAGGGGATAAGCCAACCCTGTTACCAGTATATTAGGTCCAAAAAACTTAATGCAATACATGAAATATCGTGCCAGCTGAAACAAGAGGTGGCCTGGTGCAGCAATTTCAATTGAAGGACTTCTCACGCAGGAGTTTAAGCGTTTCTGCCTGTGAGCTTGCTGTAAAACCCAAATCGGTAGACAATTGAGGGCCTTTGTAAATGAAATCTTGCTTTTTCGTGCTTTCCGCGGCCCTGGTTTTCATAAGAATCGCAACACTGAGTATGCCTCAACTTACGATACCTGAAGCTATCCACTATGGGCTGGGACCATTACACACATGAACCGTCTCATCTGTTGAACAGATTTACTTACAACCATTTCTCTTCCATATATTGTGCCTATTGAATCGGTTCGCTTAAATATTATTAGGACCAGTAGGACAAATGTGCTTCTGTGAACCAAGACTTCTAGCACTTCCCGCTCTCGCCAGTGATGCCCCGTTGCCAATTTAGGCCACGAGAAGCGGATCAAAGGAGCATTTTGATACAGCAGACAACGCACACCTGTACACTCGTTTCGTATGGTCATTTGGTTCGCATTTCTGATCTAATCGATGCTATATCTTCTAGTTTTCTCCAAAAATGTGCACCTGTGTACAGTTTCTAGCTTATTTGCCAACCTAGCTTTTTGTCCCACTTGCCCACACAGGCTACTCTCATCATGTACGCTGTATCTTTCCCTCGAATCATTTTAGTAACTGAGCACCAGCTTTTTCACGCGCCGGTTTCTCCAGTTCCATTGGATATACCGAGCTGAACGATCCGGTATCACCAAACATACTGCGCAAATTTTTGCGAGCTTGATTACCTTGAACTTACCGTCACCTTTGGTTGACTAAGAATTTCATTTCCTGCCCACATCTAAATCGCCCAGATGGAAAAACTCCCACAACGCCCTGCGGCTTCAGATATCCGCGATGGTGCGTCAAAAGCCTTGCGTCCCTCGTTATATGCACTGCTACAGTTGTAAAAGTAGCCGTTATCTGTCGCACCCATTCCCTCCATTTTCTTACTGCTGACGTCGCAGTGGGTTCCTCCTACTCCGTTTCTAACTCTTACCCAATTAATAGGATGCACATGTTAGAATAAAAGATTATTATCGGCGATATCCGTCGCCTTTGTTTTTATCTACAGCTATAACCTACACAATGCAGCTGCTCTTTATATGCCGGAAACATGGCTTGGCCTCTTGCAAGTACGATGTGTCGTACTGCTGTTCATTAATTCTCGCGCCGGTCCCTTTCAGCCATATTTGTCCCACTTGTCGAAAGATGTAAAGTAGCTTTCGTTCCGTAACCAGGCTACCCTGCAGCCGTTTGTATCGAACAACCCCACCACCAAACTTTCCAACCCAATGATAAATTGTTAACTTCCCACCCTGCCTTCCTTCAACAGCCACCGGACCGAGATCATTTGTGCCTATGAGCCAGTCGATGCCCCATGTATTCAATGGAGAGCCTCCTTGAACACCCCTACCGCCTCACTAAACCTCTTAAGTCACCACCTGAGTGGTGCCTCACACGGCTTTGAAGATCTTACTAATAGTGGTCACTTTCATGATTACTCGAATCATGCTCGCAAGCGAAACAATCTTGTGGTACCGAGATAACCTTACACACTCCATCCGTTTGGGCTTATTGGATGACCCGTTAATAGATTCTAAGATTTGCGCACACTTATCTCGATCACCCTTTGCTTCGCTGCTGTTACGGGACCATCTAGAAGTCAAAAAGTTGCATTGCCATATGCGTACTCGCATCACTCCCCCCAAACACATCAGGGACCCTCTGATTGGATTCTTTAGCTGAGCTAAAAACTAATGCCGCCTCCGGGCTAGCTAACACTGTTATTAACTCTGCCAACTAGTCCAACGACTAGCCTTCTCACTCGCTACCTCGGCAGCTGTCCTCATTTTTCCAAACTCGAGCAATTAATGTTGCCTCAGCCTTGAAACTTCTGATCGCCTGACGCTCAGTGCAAACAAAATGCAACTCTTACCGCCAATGGCAGTCTCTTACATTGCTACTGAATGTCCTGCATATTCGCCGGGCAGAAGCACATTATTAGGGATTTGTGGTGCCCCCATACAACATCGGAAACCTCAGTTGACCCTTGGTTGCTAGGTCTGCAAACAAAAATCCACCATTTCATAGATTCAACTAGCTTCCTGTCGTTCCATTTTGGAATACAATTTTCCACTGTACAGTGTTTAATTTGATACCTCTCTGGATTCACCAGACGCTACTGCTCTCAACACATTACACCTCCGTTTCACCATATTCCCAAGCTTTTCAATTCGACATTAGCCTCTCGGATGGCTTCTTATCACCTTCAATCATTCATTGTGGATGGTTGTCGGCCTGCACGCATGCCTGTGTCTAACCCAAATTCAGCCTTTACAGGAATATGCATCACTTGTCTGGTTGCCGCAAACTTGACGTCCGTCATAGGGTTGTAGAGAACCCGGAGTGTGTTAGTGCAGTGATAGTGCAACATTGCCATGCCCAGTCTGATGACACTCCATGAACCACCTCCTTCCATTGGTGACCATTGCTCAGACCCTTGGTTGAAACTGATGAAGAAATATTTACCAGGATGCAACCGCCTTCTGGAAGATTTCTTTTGAAGATAGCAAAATTTCGTTCGTATTTCGCGTAGTAACTTCGGTTTGCTCCTTTCATAAGTTCAAGTGTTTACTTACGGCATCCTGTGCATTGCAACCGCCTTTCCCTCGCAAGCATGTCTTGCAACACTCTCTTCACCCAAAGCGACACAAGTGAATCTCCTTGGTTCCGGTGTAAACCATATTTTTCCATTCCCATCTCCATTTTTGCCTTTCGTGACTGGCAGTGTACTCAAACGTTCAAGAATACTCATAGCCAGAAAAGGATTTTCAGCTTTTTTCAAGTCAACTCCATCATCATTGAACTAGACGTATACCATGCCCCATTGATCTTTCTTCCTGATTTCCACAATCTACGAATAGTCTCATGATACAAGCAAGTCTACTTGATTTTACTCTCCTCGCCGGTGTTTTAACTCTCCGCGCTCACGTTGTAACGGCCTGATCATGTCCCATTTGGCGTTCTCCTTACAAGTTTGGAAATTAACCTAGTAGTATTAGTTACGCCTTCGAGCTGGTTTTGGTCATACCGCCTTCTAATTATTGTGCACCGCCGTTAACAACTAACGTCTTCGATTCCCCTGAATGCTGCTGACTTTGAAGACCCTTGTTACCTTCGGTTGACTGACTTGTTACACCAACGAGACTACTCGTGCATCCGTTTAGTCATCTCCATTTCTCATCTTGGATGCCGGGTTTGCATCTTCGCAGGTACCGATTAAATAATTGGGCGTTATAGTCTGGTGATAATAAAGTGGCCTAATCACTTCTCGAACCAGCGAAGCCTAGCGTCTTACTGAAGTCCTACACGCCACCTGCCATGGAAANCCTAGCGTCTACTGAAGTCCTACACGACACCTGCCATGTAAACATGAAGCATTTTAGGGAGCAAAAAATTACCTTTTGCTGTTTCCAGGCCTATGCTGAGGCCAAAGTCCTCGAAAACAGCGTGATGGGTGAGCACACTTCCTAGACGAGTGCCACATCACAGCTCACAGAATGCCCCGAAAGCCTTCTGAACAGACTCTTGGTGCGCTAATGAAGACTTTTCCAAGGTACGTGGTTTATTGTTTGAATCCAATGCATTGGAGTTGTTCTGATTTTCTCTGATTAAACCTTCACAGCTAAGATACAGGTTATTCTTTTCGATTTTACACAAATGCTCAATTATTACGTGGTACAACGATTACATCCAACATGCGCCCTAGGATACGTGATAAATAATTGCATCGCTGCCGTTCTAACTAGTAAGCTCTTTGTATTGGCTACAAGTGTATCGAAATCTCTAAGCGAAATCATGTCATCTGTGCTGTGCATGTTCAACGTTACGCATCCAAGACTCTGTGGTCTGGATTGTAAAACATCCTAGATGTAAACAGGAGTCCGGGCCACCTCGGAAGAGAAGCTCGATAATATCACGAGCTGTTATCAACACTTTCCGATTTGTGGGCACCGGGTGTCCAACATGACTTCCAAAATTATTTGCGCCCCAAAGCCGCTGCGAACACGTGCACAAGTGAATTTTTTTAGAATTCGGAGTTGGAGAATTAGGAAACTAGAGAAAATATTTTAATTGAGTACGGCCGCAGAATCGCGTTTTCTACAAACACACATGGGGCACATGGTTGGAAACTGCCTCCTTGGCACACTCCACTCTGAGTTTCGCAACTCTTTGGCAAGGCGCTTTTGAGTTTCTTGAGTCGAGCATCTCTTCATCCTTATGAATTTTCAGGACAGTGGTCCAATAATAGTGTATAGCCAGCGCAGCTGGTCCCACTCTATAGTGCTCAAAGAAACTACCTGTGTCTGTGGAGCCTAAACAGCAGAAGTTTCGAATTCACATCTGAGGTTCAGGATTTCTGGTCCAATGGTACATGAAATCAAGCGTCAGCACACAGTGGTCACCATGCCTAATTGAGCTTTAATTCACGCGGAGCGTCTCCCGTTGGTGATCGCCGAATCCAAGGGGGATTGCAGTTGGCCTGTGCAGTATCTGGTGGGTACAGCGATATTTTGAGTCCGAGCGTTCTGTTAGGCGTCTTCGGTCAGCGCTAATGCAAGATGGTATGCTTGAAATCTACCAGGGGACAATGAGGACGTTAAACTCACCCACAAGCAGAGATGTGCGAAGATGGTTGCACAAGGCTTGTACGTGGAACTGATCATGTTCTGTAAAACTTGATGGGAAGCGGTAGATTATACCGGGAAGAAGAATATCGGTTCCATGTAATACAATTTGAGTCCACATTGCATAATAAGAATGTGCACGAGCAGTGTCGGGGAGGACGATCGGGGTGGGCATTCTGAACTGGGCTACGGCGTTTCCTATCATTTCGAGAAATGAAGTAGGCATCCATCAAGATCCCCGCGCCAGAGATTTCTGCTTTGAGCCAGGTCTCTGGGTGCGACAATGGTGGCTGTTCAAAGCAAGTTGAATGTTTAATATCGTGAAGTTTGTACATAATACTGAGAAAATTTGTGGCTAAGCACTTCATCACTGTCTGTTCTGTGTCCGGAGGCAAACAGCTTAGAGGCGCGCTACCAGAAAAGGTAGGAGATTCAATAGCTGTAAGCAGGGTTTGAATCCAAGTTTCCGAAGGGGCCTTGTCGGCTTCCTGGCTTGGTTGTCCCATCTTAAACTTGTTGAACCTATTTACTTTCTGCTATTCGCTCCTAAATTGCAGGTCGTAAGGGGCCTTCTTCAAACATTCGGCTACCCACTCACGTACACGCACACCGAAACTATTGATTAGACTGTTGATTGGCCTGAAGATGCCGTTTTTGTTTTAGGATTTTTCCGCGCACTTTTTAAAAATATCTGAGATGAAATATTTTTTGTGATGACTACGTCTATTGGGAACCTCGCACTCGTTTGGGATGATCTTAAGAGTGGCATAGATGATATATTCAAGCTAAAAACTCTCAAGAAAGCTAGATATATGCGATTATACACCCATGTGTATAATTATTGCACATTTGTTGATCACCGGCCACAAGCTAGCGGGAGAACTGATCAAAGCACCGGTGGAGGGAAAGTGGTTGGTTTAGAACTATACAGAAAGCTACGGGATTATCTCAGAGCACATGTCTATTCTTTGAAGCTGGTAAGTGTGTGAAGATGAATGTTATTTTCCTAGAAAGGAGATAATCTCAATGGAGAAGAGATGCTGTCATATTTCGAGAAGACGTGGACGGACTTCCGCTTCGCTGCCACGGTCCTTGATGGGACCTGTTCCTATCTCAGCAGAAACTGGGTAAAGAGAGAGCAGGATGAGGGGAGGAAACATGTGTATGAAATCTATGAGGTATGCTCGCAATGCGAACCGGAAGTGGCTTTTTCTTTTGTCCATGTCCAAGTTTATGGAACGTCTCGCCCATTTTCCCTTGCTCGGTCACAGAAGGGATACCGAGTTCGAAGGGTTGTGTTTTTTCGATCGGACACTCACCTACCTCCGTGCGTTCACCACATAGGCACGTTGATAATAGGGTGACTTTTTCAATTTCGGAACACGATGCCTCCGGTTATGGAGAGTACTTCGTTCGTGATACATTTAGTGACGACAAGGCCCTCGGAAATCTATTTTTATGACGAGACTGACTATTAACGAGAGCATGTGAATGCGTGTTACAATACTGCTCGTTATTCCCCATCTGAATGTCGAATTGGGGTGTTTCTTTATATCGTGAACACACATGAGTGCTTTTATTGATATGCGTTTCATCCTTGTGCACTCAGGGAGTTCTGTCCTATTAAAAACCGAAATTGTTAGAAATATGGTAATTGCCGTTCATCATTTGCCAAAACGTAGCTAACAACTGCAAAATTTACAGTTGATTAGGACCTGACCAGGGGCCAGAAAATTGCTCATTGGATACCCTTTTAATTTCTAAAGGTTTGGTTTACCTTTTGGTAGCTCTCACCCTTGCTGTCATCTTGTTGTGTAGTCTTTGTGAGAATAACGGTAAAAGGACACAAATCCGAATGAAGACGGTTTACTGTCCCAAGAATATGGATGTCTCTGTTCAGGTTCATCCCGTTGTGGTTACAGTAAGTTATTACGAGCTGATTCATATTTCTAAGGACCTACACATGCACCCTTATATCGCAAGTGATCATGAGGTACATGCGTTTTATGTCTTCAAGTCCGGTAGTATTGCCAGCCCAGTCTCGTGTTGCCTTAGGTAGGGTTGTATGAAAATTATCCCTGCTGCGTGTTTCTTATGGGCTGGCAACGAAACTGCCACTGCGGCCTTGTATTCATTAAGACGACTGTCTTGTATGTGCAATACAGTGTGTATTATACGACGACCATGAGTGACATGTTTTCGCAGATGGTTCAGTGGTCAGGACATGAATTTACTGACCGGAATTTCCGTGGTTCGAACCGGACCTCCGCACTTCGATTTTCCCTGTCTAGGCTTGGGCAGCGTGGCAGTATTCCAGTCCTCGGGTGGCGTGACAGTTAGGCATCGTAAGGGTGTTAGAGCTGGATAGTCTTTGGCATAATTTACATCGATAAATCCTGATGGTCCAGCTTACCTCACAGTCGTAATGAGAGCGATAAGAATACGGATCGGGTGGCCGTCTGAACTGTGGTTGCGACTACAAGCCTTTTCTCCTGCTGCTGTTTTCGTCTTTCTTCTTCGTCCACGCTTTTGATACATCGGCATCAATGAAGGATCAAACTGCCATATCCTATCGCTTATACGGCGATTGACAACTAATAAGCTTGAAACCACATCTGCCACATTCAGTTCATTTTTGTTTCTTTGACCTTTCGATTTATTTATTCCGATTTATTTATTCCGATACTTAATGAGTTAGTGGATCTCTTCATTACCTGGTATTTCACGAGCACCCCCTGTGTTTTTATTCTGATCCAATAAGTTGCCATATTAATGGGGTAGCGATTCCTTGCTGTTAACAGGAAACCATCAGCGGTGATGATGTACATTTGTGTTTCCTTCCCATTCTTCCCATTATCTCGTAAACGTAGCGAGGGCTGGACTGAATGCACGCATATGTATGTTTTCACAATCTATTGCATTGAACGTAGGTATGATCATTCAGTTGTGCCTCACAACATACTCCCATCTGTCAATGACGTGCATTTATCGATTACAGACCGGTTCACAGGGCAGACAAACTGTGCCTATGTTTGCGCTTCCCACCGTTAACTTCCGATACCCTTCTTCCCTTCCACTATGCGGTACATCCCACGCGCCAGTAATGCAAATGGAAGATTTGATTAATGCCCCCACTGCCGCTCTTTTCTTAGTTATCGCTTTTCGAACAGGGCTGCTGCATTTACATTGATATTTTCAACTTGCGAACCATCAAGCCTGTTATCCAACTTGAGAGTTTCTTTTGCACACCAGATACTACTGATAGGCTTTTCCGACGTGATTAGAGGTATGATATTTAAGGGCGTGAATACACTTCGTGGGCATTCTTTTTGTTGGTCAAGTGTAGGTGGGATGACTAATCTATCCACGTGACCTAGGGGACTTTTTCAGTCCAGGATAAACGCCACTGATGATCAACTGGATGTGCGACGCTACTCAAGTACCATGACGTGATGTGGAGATGCGGTCAATGCATCCTCTACCTGGCTAAAACCTTACCTGGTGCTCTACGACTCACTTCTCGCGTGATAAGGTTGATCCTTACAGTAGTACAGAAGCCGGTAGCCGCATTACGACTGAGTTAGGGCTTGTACGCTGATGCTCGTGGGTGAGCCGATTGCTGTCGAAGACGAATTTTCCACCTGGACATCTGTATCAGTCCCGGTGGCCTCGCGAAAGATAATATTTCTATCCGGATTAGGAGGGCCACAGTAGCCTTCGTGAACCTGCATCATTTGTGGCGCAGGCGAGACACCAGCTTATCCGTCAGGGGTCGAGTCGACGATGCTGCGGTGCGCCCTACATTGTTATACGTGTCGGAAAGCTGGCCGCTGCACAATCAGGACGTCAAAACCTTTTACCGTTTGACCATCGATGTCTTCTGAGCATTGTCCGAATCTGGCGGGTACACCGGACCGGTATTGCTGATGTACATTGAATGGTTTTCTGGGGAAATAACTTATCCACGATAGCTGAACCCATCACTCACCATAGGCTTCGCTGACTTGGTCACATGCTCCTTATGTCCTTTGGCCGAATTTTTCGAAGCGCCCTTTTGGTACAACCACGTGAAGGGTGGACACGAGCCAGGGGAGACCAAGCAATAACTTAGCAGCGAAATATGAAGGCCATTACCAGCAAAATCTGCTGCGCCGGTCATTGCCGTTTCTCTGAATGGGGATTTAGAGGCAGTGCACATCAGTGGTTAGAGGCATTGTCAGATGGCCCAGTCGCTCCATCAGTGACACCCATGCATCCCAGCTGTTGCCTTCAATGCATAGCTTCCCCTCTCAATTCCCCCAATGTTGTATTCACCGACACCTCGGTATTTATGCGTCAATTTTATCATCTACCTCATCCAATGCGTTGCTTTTTACCACCACCTACTCAACTCATCGGTGAACGAAACTGTAGCAGCTATAACTGCTGTCCGGCAAGTGTGCGGTTTTCACAGTTGATTGTGATGATTGTCACTCGCCGTACACTTTCGTCCTTGACAGCTCTTACGACTTCGCCACTTGACGCTTCTGAGTCATCTTATACTCAGGTTTCTCACTGGTTCTTTTTGTCAAACCACGCTCCATTGGAATCGAACAAAACCAAGAGGTGCATTCTCTTTCAAGTTCCTCATTCTATGTTAAGTAGGCTAACTGGCCTCTCACAGAACTTATTTCCTTTTGCTTAGTATTTCCTTGGCGATGCACCTTGACCGCTCCCATAAAACGAACCCAGCCCTTTCACGTTCCACTCCGAGCCCCTAATGACCCTGAATCAACGTTTCGTGCCACCGGGCGGGCGGATCTTCGCCTAACTGCTTCCAACAACATATGTGTGGACACTGATGTCTCGCCGCCGTACAACTTGAAGTTTATTTAGTCTTATTCACCTTAAAGTGAAATAAAGTTGATGATCTCTTCCTCGTTTTTTACTGGAGAAACAATGCTATTTTCAGGATGGGGGCTGATGGTAAATTTGAAGGGCCCATGTAGGGATTGTGACCCGTATCCTCTAAGCAAGGGGGCGAGATGGACCAAGTGGTTAGAGCGCGAATTTACTGACCGGAAGGTCCGTGGTTCGAATCCGACCTCCGCCACTCGACTTCCCCTGTCTAGGCTTGGGCAACCTGGCAGTATCCCAGCCCTCGTGCTTCCTTCGGGTGGCATGGCAGCTAGGCACCGGAAGGGGGCTACAGCTGAACGCTTTCTTTTTCTTTTCCTCTAAGCAAAAGTCACATCTTGCCCGATGGATTACTAGCTCTGGGAAAGGAGTATGCTTCTTGTCTATTATAAGCATTCTGTCAATCAATCAGACAATCTGGAAGGATGTTGACAGCACGTACACTGCTGACATTGGTTAGCCGTCATCTCTTGCAGTGCCTTCATCCAAACGCATGAGGGGAAACAGTACCCATGGGTTTATCGATGTGGGAGTCGAACAGTGATCGAGGAAGTGGACATCCTTGCCGGTATCTTCGCGATGGCTCTCCATACATTCTCACACGAAGCAAGTGTATTTTGAAGCACAGACCTATTAACAAAATTGAACGAACTTGTGAAGTCAAGGGCTAAGACTGGACCGTCTGTACATATACCGTCGTTTTGAAACCTGGTGGAGTTTGATGTAATCGACGCAGCCTCTATCCGGCCGAAATCCTGCGTGATGCTCACGGCCTGATGTCTCGCCTTCTTAAGACGTGGAAGAATCAGTGGTACTGAATTCTTGCTAAAACGGGAGTCAGAGTGACATTCGTTCCGGGCTCTTTTTTGAAGATTGGCACTAATATCAAGTGACACCAAGTGTCTGAGACGGCCTATTCCTCAATGGTGGTCGCTAGTAAGTTGGGCGGGGATTGATTAAGATTGGGATCAAGCGAAAAGTCGATGTTATTATTGATGCGAATGATATCAGTGTTCAAAACTGATAGACTGAGTTGAGGTAGCACATATCGGCGCTCGATTTGGTGTGCAAGCTTTTCACGCAGAACAGACAACAGCTTCGTCAGCTATTCACTGGCCATCACCTCTCCCTATCTAGCGAACTTTCCAGCATAAATGCTAACACCGTGTGACTTGGCTGCCACCAAGTCTGAATCAACTGTGAACCTGATTGTATCATTAGCCTGTCATCTACCGACAGAGGATGACTGTTCAAGACTGTTAGTTTCACAGCGCGTAACTTAGTTCTGACTACGCTGTATTATTTGTACGTATGGTTTGGTAGTGGTTCAGCTGTAACACCCTTTCTGCCCCTAGCTGCCGTGCCACTCAAAAGAAGCATGAGAGCTCTCATTCTATCAGGTTGCCCAAGCCTAGACAATCGAGATACTGAGGTAGGGTTCGAACCGCAAACATTCCGGCCAGTAAGTTCGCAACTTAGCCACCGAGCCCACTTATAGAAATAAGCTTTGCTTCAGGGCTTCGACAGTTGACTAAAGACTTATAAGTCCTTCGCCTTTAGAAATCTGATCCAGCCGGAAATCCCGTAAAAGATTACCAACGCGATTGATGCGTAGGGGCACACAGATGAAACCATGCTGACAGCTTTCAAAGCGGCTCGCCTGCTCCTCCAGTGTGATTCAACTGGCATACAATCGGGATCAGCGACCTTGAATGATTCCCACGAATCCTTACCATCATATACTGACCATGACACTGCGCGTAGACCGTCAAAATACCAGATGTTGAAGTCTGAGTAAATACATGATGTTGGAGAATAGCAAAGATGTAGAAAGCACTCACTGTCGGCAGTAGGCGTATATCGGCGGATTCGGTCGGCTTGTAGTAAGAAGACTGTTTTCGGTGAAACAGTCAACAACAAAGGTGGCTCAGCTATATACTTGTGAGAAGTCGCCTGCAGGAATAGACCTTGATCCATGAAGAGCATCTCAGTCGGTCTTTTGTAACACCGCCCTAAGAGACTATGGATGCGGTTGAATGGTATGTCCAACTGATATAACAGTATTCCTTCTGAAGCTCGAAGATGTATCAGGCTTCTATAAATGCACGCGAGTGCCGTGCGAGAAACAGCATAACATCAGTTTGCCGGCTGTAGCGTTTCTTTTTTCTACCTAGACTTCAAACCCGAGTAATATGCCCAAAGCTGACGATGTTTGTCGACATTTGGGTAATGCGACTAGTTTCTTTACCAGATCTCCCTTCAGAAATATGTTGTGGTCGTGTGGGTCTGTCTCTTGTTTATGCGGAAACATCTGTTGAAGACATGATTTCAAGTGGTCCCACACCGGTTATAGCACGAAATGTGAGGTTCATAACAAGTCTAACTCAACGACCTGCTTTTTGTTCGGTGTTCACACGAAGTGGATCACGCATTTACTTCATCCGAAGGACGCTGAATTCCATCATCCAGCCTCATCAAGAGCGTCCCCGTTCTTCACTTGATTGAGTGGCCATCGCCTGCAAGACTTGACTGTATGTCCCACACTCTCCCATTTCCCGGTATTGGAACTGTGCCATCGCCTGCAAGACTTGACTGTATGTCCCACACTCTCCCATTTTCCGGTAATTGGAACTGTAGCAGCTGCAACCAATATGCTTATGGTACACTGTTTATGTCTGTCAAATTGATTGATTGACGTGAATGAACTGTTGCGGGAACTACTGGTGAAACTATTCCCCGCAAGACCCCCCCTTCCATGAAATTCCACAAGGCTAACCGTATGCCTAAATGAGACCCTATCTTACAAATGGATAGACGGTAACGTCCACAGTAAATGGTTCTCACAGTTACTCGACACTTCCCCCACATTTAGACGGCGAAAAATTTGCAACGTAGTGGGATGGAATACAGAAGTACCGTCTAACAACTGTTGCTGTGTTGGGTCATAACGTTCGCAGAGTTGGAAGTGATTTTGGTACTCGTTCTGTGACTTCTCAATGAACTTCGTGTGGTGCTTTCCTTAATTTTTCTGCGCTTCAATTGGCCTTGCAAAGTAAATATCACTTTTCTCATCCCAAGTTAACTGAGAGTTTCCGGGGCGTTCGAATACCACTTGTTAACAGCATTGTGTTGTGTTCATCGGTCGCCTAATCCCACAGATTTAGATTACTTTCAGTTCATCTAACCGACTAGAGTTATCCTAGCCAAACCCCGACAGGCTTTTCGTGTGTCTTTCCAGTCCGACCGGGCCGCAAGTATGATCACCACCGTTGACACGAACCATTATGCCCTTGTTCTAGTCTAATAGGCCTGAGCCGATTCACTGTCACATCCAGGGAGACAAATGGCAGCATCTTTGCGAATGGGTTTATCGATCAGTTGATGTTTTCTTTCCGTGGCATTTGGTCGCATACATGTAGGTCATACGGTGTGCTAGAATGATGTTTCACACAACTTCCTGCAGCGATTAGTTGGACGGGACGACCGTTGATTCTCCGAATCACTGGACCGCATTAGTCTTTGTCCCCCATCTAGCCATCTTGCTTTTGGTTATACCTGTAGTTTTACTGCATCTACAGTGTGAATTGTTGACATTTTTCTCCGTTTTATAGTCATCGGGTCTTGATGTTCTGCAGGCCTTTTCTATCATTATTAAAAAATACCTACACATTGTTTTCGTAACCAGACTGCCAGACCTACTTTGTAACATTAAATTGTTCGTGATGCATGGGCTTAGTCTTTCGTATTTCTCCTCTTCAGAGGAGACACCAACATTGGTTGCTGTAGTAGTCAAAGAAGTGCACTACTCTTGATTCGCGTGACAACCCACACATAGACACCCTTTTTTCATAGGTCGTCAGAAACTTCTATCCAGTGTGACCGAAACTCTCTTGTCTAGGACTTTGCTTTATTTGTTCAAAACCAACGTTATATGAACCGTAAGTTGCTTTCGTCGTTCTCCATTGGTTGACTAACCTACCCGACTTGTATTCATGTGAATAAGTTGACTTTTGTAAGTTTTAACCCCGTTTTTGGATATCCGCCTTTATAGTGCTGGGACAATACAGAGTTCTTGCTCCCAAATATCTACTTCTTCACACTATATTATGTACGATGCACAGTTTAAAAATGCGTATTTTTCCCACTCTGCATATTCACAGTTGGCTCTTATTACCTGGCGGGAGCAGCTTTTGAAGCCCCATGCTCGCGTCCTGATTAGTTCAATCCTTCGAGAAATAGACCGGGAACGTCGTGGAGAGGTGTTGCTTACTTTACGCTTGAGAAAAATTATCGAGTGTTTGGTAGAACTTGGGATCAAATCCGACACTCATCCTCACCCATCCCCCAGTGGTGGCAGCCAACCTTCAACTGAACATCTGCCTGGCTTGATGGGCGCCACTTCTCGATCCCCCCTGAGTTCTGCTGCAGGACCAGCCCACAGCCAAGAGTGGGTAAGCATCAGTTGAGAGTTTTAAATTGACCGCATGAGCCTGATACTTACTTTCACATATAAAATGTCCATTTTTGATGCGAATTTCGTCAATGGCGCCTAGTTTTCATTTTTTGGCTAGTTTCTATTTCCGGTTTGCTTATATTAACTGGTTTTACCCGTTATTTCTTTTACAGCCTTCCGCTTCTAGTCTTAATCCACGTGAGAACGTGCCTTGTCGAACCCCTTTACACGGTGCCGGACCTACAACAGCTCCCTTATCTTCCACTGATACTACTTCCCAAGCGTCAGCTACATTATCTTCAGATGTTCGTTTATACGTTTACCAAGACTACTTCGAGCGTAACTTCTTGGCTGAAACAGAGCGCTATTATCAATTGGAAAGCGTCCAATTTTTGCAATCGAATCCTGTACCTGAGTATCTGCAAAAAGTACGTGCCTGCTCAGTGGTATTCGTCCGATAAACTCTTGGTTTTTGTCCTAATGAAGTTATCAACTCCTTGCGAATTGTTTGATTGGTTCCATAATTGCTTTTATTAGCTGACACGGAACTGTTTTATCCTTCACAGCAATCCAGCCTGGAAAGACACTGGACCATAAGTCTTGATCACATATGCTCACAAGGGTTATGAACAGGGTAATAAGTCATACTCAATAAGGTCAATCGATCACGTAGGCCTCTGCGTCCATCCGGCTGAGGATCTCAGGTCAGAGACACTGTTAGATCGTCCAGACTTGCATGATTCAACTGAGATGCCTGGTTCTAGGCTATCGCGCTTCAAAGGCAGTTATCCCCAAATCCCAGCTTTACTTCTCGTACCCACCCATTAATGAATTGCTGGTGGGCAGCACGGACCGTCATCCTCATTTTCAACCAATCCTCTCGTTTTCTTTATGTAAAAGAATCATAATATGGCAACTGGAAACCAATGGCACATGATCTGTAGCTGTAGAACTGAAATTAGTCTTCTGCATGTATACACAGTATTGTACATAGTTTAGTAGCCCTGTGGCCTACGGGAAGAATTCCTACCGGAGACCTACATACAGCACTAGTCATATTAACTTTATTAGCCCTGTTGACCATTGTTTGTCAGCGCGAATAGCTATTCAACCGTGGGGTGTTTGTGTGTGTGGGGGGGGGAGAATAACTTTTACAAACAGCTTTATTCACGCAGTACGGCTACTTGAACACAAGACGATGCATTAAACAGATCGTTGTAAGATGACTTACTTCAAAGTGGTAAGCTCCTGTGACAGTTTCAGTACGGAGGTAGCGAAATAGTGGAAAATGAAGAAAACAGTTTGTGACGTCAGTTTTACTGCACGGCTGTTCATAAATCGTAGCGTTCAGCTTTAGCACCCTTTCGGTGTCTAACTGCCATGCCACCCAAAGGTTGCACGAGAGCTGGGATACTGCCAGGCTGCCCAAACTTAGACAGGGGAAGTTGAGAGGCAGAGGTCGAGTTCGAACCACGAACCTTCCGGTCATTAAATTCGCGCCCTAACCACTTGATCTGTTATGGGTTTAGAGCTCCATTCTCACTTTCGTTTTACCACCAGAATGTCGCACATAACTGGGCGTATAGCAGGCGAGCGAGCTATTTATCCATGCTCAACTCAGCACAAATAACCGAGTTTGTGAGGCTTGTTGTGATTTATGTGTGCACAATTGCAAACGTCAACATAGTCCTGTTGAATGGCTCAGCAGGATACTGAAGGCCACTGCATCCGATGCCAAACCATAAACGAGAGATTCATTTGAGTTACTCTTTATCCCTGACTTGACTTGCAAATTGGGTCCAGTTATGCACAATTTGGTGTTCAAGCAGGAAGAGTGGATGATAGGACCTCAGGGACTACGTCTAACTGATGAGTCCCAAACGGATAATGGACTACCGAAGAATCAGTCTTGTAGGTAATGCCATACCAAGTAAAATTCGGATTTTCCAACGACCCTAAGTAGAATTGGTTTTTGGAATGGCGAAAATCGTGGAAATATGACTTTTCGCAAGTAACCAGATTCTCAGTGAATTGGACGCTTAGACATAACGAAAAAAACGCTCGAATCCTGATTGGGTAATTAAGCCGACCCTAAAGGCCAATGGTGAACCAACGAACACGGGGCATTGTCTTCCTTCCTAGGCCTATTTACCTAAACGGTCGTGTATCTTGTATGCTGTGCACAACGAAGTATTGCTTTTCAATTTAGCGGACACGATTGATGCTTACAGGTACTCCACTTGACTTTCAGGTGGAAATGCGGTTAAACGAAGAACGAGCCCGTGTACAGGCATATCTACATGTCAGTACACTTCCAAAACTAATCCGGTCCTGCGAAAACCATCTACTGCGCGACCACATTGATCGCCTTACTTCGGAGTTTGTCAGTTTACTCAATGAGGATCGGGAGGAAGGTGAGGTCATGTGGTTTCTGTTATAGCATCGTTGCTCATGGTGGAGTTGCCGCTTGTAAGCCCACTTACTTGATTGATTGGCCCCTCGTGTTTCTTGTAGCAGTGTTTCACTTCTATTCACTCGTATATTCTGCTGGGGAACCGGCTTGCTGCCTCTGGCAGGTCTATATGTGACTGGACTCCCCCCCAAACAGGCGTCGAGTTCAGTGACACAAGATATAGGACCATGAACTCAAACATCGCTATTTAAATTTCTAGTTAGCACGGGTAACCTCATCATGGGTTCAGTGTGAAGGTCATTCTGTTGTTTTTGTGTGAGTGGGCAGTAGCATATCTGGACCCACGGCTTTAGCGCAGTTTTAAAATCTTAGCCAACAGGGACCCGCTATAATTCTTTATTCTGATAAATGTGTCACAAGAATATTTCCAGACCCACATATAAGGAGTGCGCACAACGCGAATCCATTAGTTATTGTAGATCCTTGACTTTTTTGCTTAGTTTACGATTATGTGCGTTGAGCATGTACTTCTGAGTGCAGTTCCTCCATTGATTTTGGCCGCGGTCCCTGTCCCCGTTGCTTCAGAGTCCTTCGGACCCGAATTGGGGAACCAATCTACCGTACGCCCCCCCATATTGACATCAATTTTTTCGTAGTCGTTCGCCGCGTTGTTGCCTACCCACCCCTTCGTCTAATCTAGCTCTGTTGAACGCATGCGAACAGCGCTCAGTTTGGCAGACTTGGTGATATGCACAAAAGATACCTGGAACAGAGTAGTAGGTATCATGGAATGACGATAGACTGCACGAACCAAGCACCCTCCGGCATAATTCTTCGTTATTCGCACAACTTTGCCATCAGATGCGATCAAAGCTATACAGCTAAGGACCGTTGAAGACTGACAGTCATCACTGACATCAACACGACTTGACCAGCATCGTATCGCTCGCACACTGATACTCCCTCAACGAAAGACTGTCACACCGTTACCAAATGTTGGCCAGTGCTGACCTTGCCTTCTTTATCCACGCGAAACCGCGTCAATCACTCTTCCACCAGGTGAAATGATACAGCTTCCAAAGTAGGAGAACTGGTCAACTTCTAATAATCTTCGCTATCTGTTGTAATCGTGGGTGGCGTCCCTTACCAGTTCTTGTAAATCGCTTTACACTTGGGTGTTGCGGAAAATATCCAATACCGCGACGCTTCGATCTAGAATGATTACAGAGCTGTGAAGATCTACAGCTGTTACAAGTTTACTCCATATCTAGTGTTCGACAACCTGAGGGCAGTTCCATCTCAATACTAGCAGTCCAGTTTCAACCGACTTGCGCTTCTTCAGCAAAGCCGATGAGGAGCGAAGTAACTGAGCTCTATTCTAGATGGAGGGCGACTGCAATGGATTACTGTCTTAACCCGTGTCACGATATAAGTCAACAAGCATAGCTATACCTTCGCCGGACCACATGTTTGCCTGATCTCATCGAGCATTAGTCTAGTTTGACTACTGAAGTCGGGGTTTGCACGAATATGTAGAAAACCCGATGATTGTCGCTGTTAAAGATGGAAAGGGGAAAGGACTTTGTCAATGCCTTCCGTCCGACTCAGAAGCCAGCTTGCTTTTCATGGTAGCCTTTGAGAAATTACAGGAATTGGCATATTTCGGGACATTGGAGATAGGACTGATTCATGTGGTTAGCGCAAACATTCTGTAATCCATTATCGCAAGTCAGTGCGTGGGGCTACTCTTCCTCTGTAGACCGTTCGTTGCATAATACGGCAAGATTTGGATCAATATCCTTGAGGTCACCTACTCACACCTAACTTCATGTTCCCCCTCGAGTTAAGATTCATAATTTCTCGGGCCCCGAGATCTGGTGGTTCTTAAAATCAATCGTTCTACACGAGCATGTTGTCTAAGGTCGAATTCTCCACTTCACTTATTCAGCATTCCGATCACTAGATCAACACTTCACACATCGTGGAATGAGTACGATCGGTATCCGCGAGCGCGTCACGAATTCCCTAAATTTTGTCAAGTGTTATGGAACATTCCTCCATCTGAACTGCTCTGAGCCCTGGACGCCAGGAGAGATTTGAATGACTACTGGAAAATTATCGTGACTGTTTGACCTAGCGTTGCTTATCCCTCTCAACCTACTGCCTTCGTCTCTATATCTTCGCTCTTGGGGTTAGAACTCTAAGCGACCTGCTGTAGGTCAGCGTGTCTGTCGAACTGGTGTGTCTGCATGTAAATATCTAATTGGAGCCAACGGTATGCCAGCTGAAGTTCAAAGCCTGAATCATAGATAGGCTAGTGGTTAGGCGTGTTCCGTCTTCCGTGCTACTTCGCATATAAAAATTCGACATCTTACACTAATAACGATCAACATTGACTAGCTTCGTTTTTATGACTATTGTTTTCGCTATCCCCTGCCAGAACCCAGGAGCTCTGCAGAGTTGTTATCGTAGGTGAAAATTAAGCCCCTCTACATTTTCTCCCGACGGAATGGTTTTTGACGTGACGTCACAAGTTTTATTAACTTGAACGTATCGATCAAGATATGCACTCCAAACGGATGTACATGATACACCTTGTGCTGAAGACCTAAGTGTGTTACTGTGACAACGAAAGGTGAACGTCTGGTTCACCGCACGAAAGTCTCGGCTTCGAAAGTTTAGAGTACAATACTGACCGTCTTCTGCTTGCATTTCCTGGTCTGGATGCACGAATAAGGATGGAGAAATAGAGTTTTTTTTATCGAGCTGATGCGTAGTCATGATGGTATGTCGATTGTGTTTTGTATACCCCCCTCCACATTCCCTCACCTGTCCAATTAACTTGCTGCGATGTTTTGTTTCATCTGTCCCTCAGACATTTGGCGTATGTATAAGTTGGTGGGTCATTTCCCCAACGGAATGCGGGCTTTGGTTTCAATGGTTGAAGATCACGTCGAAGAGAAAGGCTGTGAAGCGCTGCGCCAAGTTGCTAAGTCCGCTCTGACAGTGAGTTCTTGACGTCATATCACAATTTGCCGACAACCTAGTACATATGCATTCTTTTGGAGTCTTGCTACCTTGGCCACTGCTCTCATTTATCTGCCTCCGTTACTTGACCCGATGGTTTGTAGTTTTGTAGTCTCATCCCTGTATCTCATCTCGTCTTTTATAGGATCCCAAACTTTACATCGATACGATTCTTCAAATCCATCGAAAGAACTATAATCTCGTCTTGTCTGCGTTCGCCTGTGATCCCGCGTTCACCAGAGCTCTTGACAAGGGTTGTGAAAGGTTTATCAACCGTAACGCGGTAACCGAATTGGCCGGAAGCCCGAGGAAGTCCCCCGAACTGCTTGCCAAGTATTCCGATTTCTTGTTGAAGAAGAGGTATGCTGTCCCGTATTTTCGTGGCATTTACTTCCCTTGCTCTGCATACTTTATCCAATATCTTCACGAGTTGCTCCTGAAAGATTCTTCCTTCTGTGACCTAGCGGGTGAACCACCGAGCATGTTGCTTCTGGTGCGTGAATTGCGCATTTTTTTAACAACCCCCATTGACGGGGCTGATAATTGTAATCAACTCTCGGTTCCACATTCACATTATACGTGACTATCGAGACACACTGCAGCACAACAGAATCCAAGATCAAGAAGAAAACCGAGGAAGTCCCCCGAACTGCTTGCCAAGTATTCCGATTTCTTGTTGAAGAAGAGGTATGCTGTCCCGTATTTTCGTGGCATTTACTTCCCTTGCTCTGCATACTTTATCCAATATCTTCACGAGTTGCTCCTGAAAGATTCTTCCTTCTGTGACCTAGCGGGTGAACCACCGAGCATGTTGCTTCTGGTGCGTGAATTGCGCATTTTTTTAACAACCCCCATTGACGGGGCTGATAATTGTAATCAACTCTCGGTTCCACATTCACATTATACGTGACTATCGAGACACACTGCAGCACAACAGAATCCAAGATCAAAGAAGAAAAGCGCCTATACAAATTGTTTCAGAAAAATGGATACCCGAGGAATTTCGTCTAAAGGACACTCAGGAAGCCCTGATTGAGTATTCTGTTTCCTTGAAAGAACATAAATTTAATGAAAACTCGACAGCCCGTGACCTGTTTGGCCTTCCTCTTCGGGTTCATCAGGTAGTCTCAGTTCCCGGGCTCCCGCCAATCTTATGTTTTGAACCCAAATCGAGTAGAAGTCGACAAATAATCTCATTTACACGGTACTTGAGTCTTAACATGAAACTCAACTGATTCCCAGCTACATCTCTCGTTTATGCTATTCTTCAACCGATGCGCCTCACCAAAGTTGCCTTGTCCCGAGCTCCAGGACCCGTTTAGTTCAGGTAGAATTGGTTGTGACTACTGGCAGTGTGGAACAGTGGAACATATTTACGAATCCACTCTCGACGTGGATAGGGCATAAATTGGCAATGACACGCGACAGACTGCACCTTGCAGCGGCCACTCCCTAGCCCTTACCACAAAGGCTGTGGATGCAACACTTACGCTCTGGAACAGGGTGAAAACAGATTAATACACGATAAAACTAATCGCTAGGTAGCTGGTGATTCATCATATGTGTAAAATTTCCGTCGTCACTTGTCGCAAGTAGAGCGGGCATTCTGGCACCTTGCTATTGGCCTGGAAAATAATATATGCTGATGAGTATTACTATGATGCGAAGCATTTCATCAAACCTATGCGTGGTTACCTGTTTGTCGTATTCTCTCTGATTAGCATTGACTCGAAGCACCACGTCGAGCTTTGTGTAAGCCGTTCACGGTGTATCAGCTGTGGAATGCATCTGTCGGTGAGGCAGATTTTATGAAATAAGAGCCATCCAATGCAGCTCACGAATACCTGCTCTATCGACAAAGGGGGCACGGCACCCTCAGTAGATATTTTCAACTAGCCATCCTTGTTTCGAGGTTCTTTATGCATAGATTTTTACGCACTTATTCGGATGGACTTTTCGGCAGTTGTGTTCGAAATACGAATCGCTGTATGGTTTTTATCATTATTTATCATTCATTGTGAAAACGGGGCCAACTACAAACTGGTCACCATAACATTTCATTAGTGGTGTCGAAATTAATGGACAAAGAGCAGTCAGTACTTGCTCGGCAATCTGCGATGCCCACCCACATATGCACCATCCTATCCATACAGAACTTCTTGGTCAACGAATTCTGATGCCCTCTCACTCATCCATTGCTTTTCAGCCCTAAGGATATGCAAATTGACGACCTGGAGGAAGCGCTTGGACAAGTAGTGAGTTTTTTCCCACTTTATTTCATCCCCTTAGGGTTGGTAGATAACCAATAGCCATCTTAATCCACTCGGGGTCCTGTGCAACTATTAGCTTTTATTCAAAAGGTTAGAGTCAGATGCTTTTAATACTCAACATCCAGGGGAATCGGTAGAACCTGTTAAAATACATCAATCATTGTGAATGTGTACCTAGACCGCTAGACAACTTATACGCTCCGTTCCAGCCCTAAGTTAACACTGTTCCATTTCTCAGCTGAGTAACTTGTTCTAGGCCAATTACCTGGTGCATCCAATTGTTGGATATTGTCCTCGTCAAACATACAGTGAATTGAATGGGGATTATGGAAGATCAACTAGACCACAACTCTAGTGGTGCTGGAAGAATTGTATGTTTCTTCTCCCCATTTTGTTAGTGAACAGCGCAGGAAACTTTTTGAAACCAACAAACCGATTTCTCAACTAGTGCAAAGAGAATCAATAGTCGGGCTAGTATTTTTTTAAATGTCTTTTCCAAGCATTAAATGTCAAACTATTTTGTAATGCACTACTCATAAGGTTGCTGAAAAATTCCTCGACAGCCCACGACCGGTTTCGCCCTTCTTGGGGCTCATCAAGTAGGCGCAGTCCCCGAGTTTCCGTCAACCTTATGTTCTACTTGAAATCAAATATATATGTATCGCGATATCTCGAGTATCGTAGCGACTGAAACATGAGGCGGCCTAGTGCAGCACATTCAGTTGCCTGGAAACATCAAAACCGAGAGATTCAGCTGGCTTCCAGGTGAGTCTCTCGAAAAACCAAATCAATTTGCAAATAAGTGTATGTTCGCTAATTTTCACAAACTAATTAAGCAACTACTGTGATTCGTCAGTCTCTGCTCTGCTTGACTCCCGTTGAGAAAAGTGTCCTGGAACGTTTGGCTTCTGAGAGGCGTCTACAGGATGAGCGGTGCTCTGTGTACCTTGAATTTAGCAGAACTAGGATGTGAAGCATTCAGTAAGCACATGTGTCTCGTCAGGCAAGGTGGGCTCATTCACAGTGCCGTTTTGAACGTGCCGAACAGACTTTCTCAAGGACACAACTTTCAATTGTGGGCGATAAACTGATTGGATGGTTGCCCAGCGAGATACTGGACTAACAACCAATGGGGACTATTATTGAATGCGTATATCGGTTTACGCCACCAAGAGAAGGACTTTGAAAAAAAATCATGAACGAACTCCCGAGCGATCGGTCCTCAGTTAAGAATGAACCACAGAGGTCTACGTTCACCGCATGTCAAAGGCCATTCCCCTCTGTTGAACGCGATATCAACCTAGACTATTAGACCACCGTGCTACTCAACATTACTGTTGTAAAAATGTCTTTAGTGTAATTGCGAAGAGACTGGACCATATTGCAGTCCGACGGTTTGCGTACTACAACTCTATCAAAAGCCCACGAACAACCACGAAACCAAATGTGCTGCCCAACTAAAACAATCATAAAAATAACAAAATTTTAAGGCTTCATACCAGAAGAATAATAGTTCGGGAGTGGTTCCGAGTACTATCTGGTATGGTATGCCAAATCGTGTGGAAAAAGCGAAAAATGACTTACACCAGCGCGGACTGAAGTTGTCTCATATTTGCACACATTTACTGATTTCTACTGTTAAACTTGTTCAAACAGCGCATTCACAGAATCAGATATCCCAGATGTCTGTTTGCTGGTTTGTACACCGATTATCCAAGGGAAATCCAAAAAATCGATTGCTCACTGTAGAGCTATCAGTTGTCACCCGACTGTCACTGTCGCGATCCATATCGCCGCCATTGTCAGTCACCCTGACATGTCACACTGGCGGCTGGTTGCCGGATTGGCATGTGATTCAGCGTATCAGTAAGTTATGTTTGACCGACTGAACAACTGAGCCATAGGTACGTTGTCCTTTGTATTATATTCCGCTGGTGATGCTGTTTTCTTTCTTCCGCCTGCACAGCACAATGCTGTAGGTCTTCACATATTTCACCCCGTTCTCAGCTCGAAACTCTTGTGGAATGCAAACTCTAGACATTTCAGACCTCTCAGTGCGCAGCTAATGTTGAATCCAGTTTCTGTTATGTTTCTGTGGTGGTTTGACGAAGGTAGCCATTCACAGCTGAGCGCAACAGGTTAAGTTGTAATTGTGCACTAACGTTGAGAGTTTCGAATATACAGTGTGTTCAGCCAAACGATGCAAAATTTTTCTAATGACTCGATGCACCCGGATAGCTTTCAGTGAGCATTTGCTGGCGGACCTGACCCCATGAGGCTCTTTTATCACTCAGCGGATGACAGCGTTCGGAATAGTTGTTCATTTCATTCTCAATCAAGAACATCCAAAGTGAGGTCGTATAGAAGTGATATTAGTTTATGTAGCCGTACTGTTAGTTTTTTGGAACGCTCCTGACTGAGTGTCCCCTAGATCAAATCCGCCTCATGGTTTTTCATTAGCCCTATCTATCGTCCTGCCGTCAGGCTGCATGACACAGCTATGCGCCTAAAGGATGTCTCAGCTGAGTGACCATCTTTTCACCATGGAAAATCATCGATGGCCAGTGTATCGCTAAATCGCATCTTTACCCTGCACCTTTGTGTCTGTTAGCCATCCATCAATATTCGGTTTGCTCTGTAGTTTCACCGATACAATGTTGCCTGATTGTAATGGACCCCTATTTAAGCAAACAAACAGTCTCGTTCATCCCTAAATTTGTCACATTACAAACACAATGTTCCTTTCCTATAAGAAGCCTCTCTCCAAGGAACGTCTAGCAGGAAAAATTTTACAATACAAGTCCCCCTTGGCTAGTTAAATCCTCCGGTAATCATCCACGTCATATAGATACATGTGTACAAATACCCACCGCCCGAGTGGCTGAGATTTCTGTTTACGATCTTGACCTTATTCGATTAGACCGAGTTCTGTCCATCGAAAAAGGGTCAAGACAGTTTGTGATCGAACTCGGAGCACTTCAATGAACGGTTGTAGAACGAGTTCATCGATTGAACCTCCACAAAACGGTTGGTCTCGTTTCGCAAAAAAATCAAGGTTATGCGCCGAAAGGTTGTCAATTATAGCACGGTGTTCAGAACAAGAAACTATGAATTTAGGGCTCATGGTGTCAGAGGATGATGATGTTCGCAAGAAGGTGCCCGTTCCCCAATCCAGAGAAGATTAATTGGTGGTTTGCTCAGCTTGAAGAATAACTCAAGCAGTGCTGCGTAACTCATCGTTTTCCAACTGGTAAAGAAATCCCGAGCAATCAAACTGAAGTTTCTGTTTCTGAAGACGGCCAGCTAGTGACATCTGTCGTACATCCATCTATCGCCAGAATAAGCTCAACTGAAAAATTAATTCTGATGAGTAATTACCCGGATTGTTGAATGCCCTGGGGATTTGTTGCGAGTTCTGTTTACCTGCATTCTCCACACCACCGGGTGCGACCATCAAGCCGACGACCACTGTTGTAGTCTCGTTTGGCTGGGTGCTCCACAGTAATGCTAACCCCAAATTCAACTGCCTTACTTATCTTTACGTAACTTTATTGTGGTTTTCAAGGCTGTTTCGGTTTCTGACTAGGGATGTGTGCCAAAAATTGCCGCCGAATTGCGATTGTCACGTTTGTTACATATGTGCTACGTATATGTACGCAACTCTTTGGTGATGCCTTCAATGCATCCTTTTAGCTAATTCTACAGTGATCTACACCCAAATCCAGGGTACAAAACACCCGCCTACCAGTCTATCGCTGTTTAACTTAGCTGGTTATGTGAATTAAAGCAAAACTTGAGATTACCGGATCAATATTTTTTTATTTTCACTGCAAAGTAACAATGACAAAAATATATCCCAACAGGTGTGTGTTTTGATGTGCATCCATCCGCGTACACGGTGTATGTATTGAATTGGTCCAGATATAAACTTTTTGAAAAACCCATGAAAAAACATTCAGAATGTGTGTAGTGCACGTTTGGAACAATTTAAAAAACAAAGGGAGCTTTCAAGGCTTCTTACTAGAATAAGAAGAGAGAATCGGCAAATTGTTCCAAATCCGATGAATTCAAGTGCTTCAGTTATCATTTATTTTTGAACAGCATGGTCACAAACATAAAAAATGAGTGCAAGCGATGAATGCGAAAGAGCAACAGGAGAATATGGGAGAAAAGAGAGAAACGTCTCATTGGAAATCATGCCAAGGACAGTGCCAGTCTGATGAGGTGAATCCCAAAGTATGTAAAGATTTTGGTATGGGAACACGCGTCTAAGGACCAACAACCAAAGAAAGGACAAACAATGGTGAATGCTCTTCAAGGCGCAGTGTGCGCTAGCACAGTCAAGACTCGCACATCAGGCACAAATTGACCGTCATACTGGGTCTGGTGTGAGATTAAATGGCAAAAATGCACCTTCAACGCCATGTGCCACGCATAAAAGTGTCATAAGTACGCAGGGAGCCCACAATGGCAAGCAAACACAAGCCACTGATTGCGACCTTAGGAAGTCCCAGTCCAATAACAGCCTTAGCGGATTGAG